AGGAGTAGGTGCTACCGTTGACGAGGCCGGCAGATCCAACTGAAGCTCAGGAGTACGACTTGGCTATTGCAGGGTGAGTCTGACCACTTGGTTTTGTAAAAGCGCCCGCCCGGACGATCGATTTGTGTTGATTGTAGGTCTGTATTCGAATTCTTCCGCTTTTATCCGGTTCGTCTGGCGTGCACTTTTGCTGCGCTCCTGGACCAGGAGTTTGTAACGGCGACTGCTGTTGGAAAGTATATACTGTTGAAATCGGAGGGCGGCCTCAGGGAAGGTAGGGAGTCACGACTTGAGTCGTGAAGTGACAAGTTTACGGTAGTCCTTGGTAATTACTGCGCTCGAGACGTGCTGCTGGAGCTGATACCAAGATGTGGGAGAAAAGTGGAATCGTTAAAGAATATGATTGCTGGTAAGTTGGTCGTTTTTTCGGGAGGGAAAATTGACGTATTGTGTAGGTTATGATGGTATGGTTCAAGAGGACGGTAGGGCACAGGATTTGCAGAAACAGTTGGAGAGAGCTCAGCAGACGTTGGTGGAAGTGAGTTGAGTGGGTCTTGCTTGCTGAACTGTAGATGTTAATTAGCATAGCGAGTCATTCATGAGCATTGATTATGTGCGAGAAAGCGTCGTGATCAGGGTTGTCGATTTCAAAGGAGTTTCACCCTAGTGATATGAGAAAGCTAGCGAAAAGTGTATTTCATGATTACTGCATATCACCGCGGAGATCGCATTTTTGACAGAGTATTACGCCACTTCACGTGAAACGGGTGAAGCTCCGATGAAACTTTCTGAGATTTTAAATTTACGCAGTTTTCTCACAGCAAAGGATGGTCGTTCTGTTGATCGAGAGATATGCGGTGCCTATGGCAGTGTCGGAATACATGTTCCTTTTCCTTAGTTGTTCTCAGGAGTTTGTATGTTAGTATTTGGAGTAGAAGTGTCGAGAAGCCAACAGTAGTTTCGCAAAATTTCCTCAAGATTTTCATATTTTCACTGACATATGTGGTTGACCATGTGCACACTTTTTCACATTGGATTTAGGTATTCAATTCGGCAGTAGCTGATCTCATCGCGGCTTATAACGGACTAGATGTGGATGAATCTTTCGACGATATGAGACAAACTTTGGTGGAGTTGTTGTTGGACGTTTGCCGGTGAGGAGCCAAGAGGCGAGCGATTGGTGTTGTTATATTTTCTAATAGGAGCAATCTGGCTCTCCTGCCCAGTCTGCAAACTGCAACTGTGGATACGCCTCCTGAGATGAAGACGGTCATTAGCAATGTTGAGATTCTTGTTTAAACGACGAAAGGATTTTCACACAGAGAATATCTTGCGTTACTTCGGTGTGCCCTGGTTATGTTTTTGCTCTTCATTTTTTATGATCTTCTCACTACGCAGTTATTATTGCTCAGGGTAGCGAGTGGGCGACCGAGATCAAACAATGCTGATTATTGCATCGAATAGTCGTCTTATTCCTTGTCGCTGTTTGTTCCCATGTCTATCTCTTGCTGCCTGTCCCATCGTCTCCGTTATCGCTTTGAATTGGTGCAGTTGTCTTGAAGTGTTTAGATGTTCTCTTCTCCTTCGTGCGGAGGTCCTCCCACTAGATCAATCGTCCCTGTTGGTTCTGAGATTAGCGGGCATCGGCAGGTGAGGTGAAGGAAGTCGTGACCGACCTATCATCATTTCTTTAGAATGTGTCTTTGAGTATGTCACATTGTGACAGTCACAACTCGATCATGTTACGATAGAGTTTAATTCTGAGAATTCGAGTTTATCACAATTCACTTATGTTACAATCAAGATTGACAGTGAGAATTCAAGTGTGACACTGGCAGAATATGTCAGGTTGGGCGACATACTAAGTTTGACATCATGTACGCAAATTTGAGAAAGCGCATGCGAGTGCGGCGATGAAATCGTTGATACTCTTGCGTGTCACTAATTGTTGACCAATTAGTGACTACACTGTAGTCCGTGCTGATGACTGTACTACAGTGATCGAACTCATTTCGGCATCCCAATGATTTGCACAATACCTTTCGTTAGAGTGGCAAATTTAAGGGTAATCGTCGAACGTTACTCTTCGAGTTGGAGGCTTCGACGTTCAATATTCCCGTGTCCGACTCGCCTTGCCCAGCATCTCAGTAAGGCTTCACGAGATTCCACGCAACATGGTTTGATGTGACAGAAGAACTTTCTGAAAAGAGTGCGGCTCGCCGAGTCTACAATAGGCGCCATTAAATGGCGGGTTGGGAGACTCCGTGTCATATGAAAGATCGATCAAGAATCGACGGACACTTATCAGGCGCGATCACGCAGGGTCTGAAAGTCAAGGCGTCGAACCATCACGAAGAAGAGCTTGAATGAGTATCTTGTTGACTCACAGGATTATATTTTCCTAAGCAATAAAAAGTCCGCCTTGCGGCCTCGACTTACCCACGCTGGGCTGAGAATGTTCATTAGCACATCCACAATGGTAGGAGTGGTCTCACTTTCATTGAACGACAGCGTGTCATATGGAAACTCTGTTTCTTTCATCTTATAACGCGCGTAGAACAAAAACCAGCCATCTTCATCTGAAATCAACTGTAGGTTCTCGCCACTCACAGGAGCTAGCAAGCACAGGAGCACGGCGATTCCCATTTCGTCAACTGAATCAATTCACTCTGACAACTCACATTTCAGCTTCACGAAATCACTTTTCTCATATAAGTGAATGGCGTGCAAGTTGTCCGGCTCCACGGCTAAGTACATGGCGACCAGCTTAGGCCTAGTTTGGCCGAGCTGAAAGATGATCAAAATGCGGTGGTCGTAGGACTCAGTATCCCTTTAGTCTCGTGAATGACACGCTTACATATTTGAACGTCTCAGTGAGAAGTTTAGTCCCAATTTTCTGGCCTCGCATGGGACGATAAACTTCGAACTAAAAGTTGAACAATAGAGCATCATCATGTAGCTCTCACCAACTTACATGGGCTATGTAGCCGATTACTCCATTCTTCACATGTTTACTTGGTTCGGGCCTGGAAAAGCAGGTTGTCAGAAGCAGCGATACTCTTCCGGTTTGAAAGCGCTGTTGGGCTCTCCCACTTCTTGAAGACCACAGAAAGCTTACATTTGCTCTACAATTGCATCCTTCACCCTCTTCATAATGCCGATGGCAGGGATGTGCATTATGATATCTCCAATAACAGCCTGAAAAACTCGTATCACTCTAACAGTTCGCCGACAAAATGTATCCCTAGAACTAGTCGCCGAGTTGATGCTCGAAGTTACTTCGACGAAGTACCCACGTGATAAACCGGAATCTCCCAGCCCCAGCTGCTACAGTAGCAGTGCTACTGTGGCAGCTGTCCAGCGCCTGCGACTACTCATCAAAGACTTACTTTTTTGCTGATTGAAGTGTCAACTGCTACGAAACAAGGGTTGTCCGCGCAGGATTCAGCGACACTCGAGTCGACACGGGTAGTGTCGTCGCCACTCTGGTATGGGCGATAAATGATATTATCGCCGAGCGAGCGGGGCAGCTGCTCTTCCGGCCAGAGGCGGGCCACAGTCAGACGATGTGATACCAGAAAGACGAGTAGCATCGGTACACAGGTGGGCAGTCTCATTCGTGGGGAAGAGTTCGATCTACCTGAGGCAAACATCGAGCTTCTTCAGATTACCTCTCAAGTGCTGCCAGACCTAGTCGAGAGCTTTCAGGGCACTTCAACTTCAGTCGAGTAGTACTCGACGAGTACCCGTAACAGGAATTGGGGATGATTGTAGGTGTGTAGCGTTCTTGGTAGAATGCTTGACCCCACCGCTTTTTCAAATGATTATCATGTTGTGTATGCGTACACATATCAGCTTAGCATTGATCCTCTTGATCATTCAGTGAATGATCAAGAGGCCGTGAATTTACGTGACACGTAAATTCACGGTTTTTCAACGGATTCCATGAGCTCTCATTCTTCGAGACTTAATTTTTTTGACGAATTTCATTCAATTCCCTTGCATCTCACGAGCCTCTTTGAATTCCTTGAGAGCTTAGCGAATTGTTGCGGCAGTGAAATCACCTCAGTAACGAGAGACTATGCAAACCTGGAACGCACCGCGAGGTGCACACAATCTGCAGGTGCATATGCACACATGCGTGCAAGATAGGTGTGCGGCCATCCCACGGAACTTAACTCGACAGTTACTTGTTTCCATGTGGAGCAACTGGCTCCATGTGCGCCACTGGCCTGATGCACTCTGAGGTCCTCTGCGGAGGCGTATATCCGCCTACGTTGGGTAGTCTACTTGTTGATTCGGCACAGTGGGGCCGGGAAGTGGCCGAGAGATCGGCCATTCCAAGTACGACTCATACTGTATGAGTTCCTGTGGGGTGACTAGCGATCGTGTGCGACGAGTGCGACGTGTGCGATCGTGTGCGACACATTCTAACCACCGTGAGACACTACGATATGACTAGCGCCTGCGTTCGAGGGTGGAAGTGGAAATTCTCAACTCGTTTACTTCTAATGGACGTTGTCCATCCCCTGAGTTCTCTGTGGAGAACGCCTTCCAGTCGGACAGGTAAGTGGCTGAGTAATCGGCCATTTCAAGTACTGTGTGCAACTGAGAGTTGCGTCGGTCCAGTGGGGCCAGGAAGTGGCTGAGGAATCGGCCACTCCAAGTACTGTAAGCAACTGAGTGTTACGTGGGTCCAGTGGGGCCAAGAAGTGGCTGACAAATCGGTCATTCCAAGTACTGTGAGTCACTAGCTGTTACATCGGTCCAGTGGGGCAAGAGGATGACCGAGAAATCAGCCATCTCTATTACTATGAACCACTGCCCGCTGCCTCGGTCCATCGGGCCGCAATATGGCTAAGATGTTAGCCGTCTCACTGTCTATTGCACCTGCTCAACGGAGACGGGAGATGTCCGGAGTTGGCCATCTGGACTTCTATGAGGATGGAATCCTCAGGATTTGTGTTCGATAATTAACTTGCGAACTTCCGAGTATTTCGTGTCTACTCATATTTTATGAGTCATATATATCTCCTGTGGCAGAGTAACCATTGGTTACTAACCAAGACTTGTTCTTCATCCCGAAAGACATCTGTTCATCGACTGGGTATTGGTCGGAACTTCCGACTCGGAAGTGTGTGCGAGGACCAAACACTGTGAAGCCGAAGTCCGATCACAGGATCTTACAGTACTTTTGGCTCTGGGTTCACAGATTATGTTTGGTCACAGTGTGACCGTCACACAAACTATGTCACGGAATATGTGTCCGGGACACATATTCCGTGACATAGTTTGAGACGCTAACATATGTCAGGACATAGTGTCCTGACATGAGTTAGCGTCTCCCAACCAACTTGAGACAAGAAACTCGAAATAACAATATGATGAAGCTCATCAGATGAACCAACTTGAAGTATGGAATCATCTCGATCTCAATGAGCTACGAAGCGCACATCATGACACAACCAGACACTAAGTAAGCTACCTTAGATTACGAGGTTAACACACCTTTTACCCCCGGAAATCATACACTTGCTTGTACTTGCTTCACAATGCAACATCCAGTTCGAATTACCGGCAGAGTATTTACCTGCTAGCGGCGATGCTTACAAGTTGCCGATGTGCATTATGAGTCGCAATTTATGGCCACTCCACTGTATAGCGTCAAACGTTTGGACCTTACTGTGCGGAAGACTGTGTAGGCAAAAGCGTATAGACTATACGGTATGGTCTCCCACATCTCTGGGAGCTCGAGAGCCGGCGCTTTTCCATGTCACATGGTTTTCCAAATGCTGTTGTGGTGGAACCATTGAATTCGAGACAGCATGATTGTGCGCAGTAGACAAAGTTGATAACGGCCTTCATTCACGTCACTGACGTGACGTCAGCCAACGTGAGGCCCCCTCTTCACTCGGCCTACCGACTCCCTATCTCGCGTTCCGAAGTTAGAACTGAGGAAAGGCGACTACAGCTGTCGAGCCGCTGAAAGAGAAACCCTCACGGCTTCGTGACCAAGCTGATGGCAATGTTGTAACAACTTAGTTGTTGCGGCATCGGTGTGCACCACCATTCTCATAGCTCTCCCGGAAGGTTGCACATCACCACCCCACATTAATGCGTCAATGTATGCGCGGAATGTTAGTCAGCGCTAATAGCGCTGCGCTATGGAATGCTCGCCGTACGTCGGACGTACTACGTCCTGAACGGCTCAGGTTGATCTCAGGTTGATGGGATGCTCGTTGAGTTGACTGCCAAGCGCGGAACTTCATGTGTTATTGAGAGATCTGCTAGCTGTATTGTAACTTGATAATATTAGCTGATATCCCAATAAACTTGGATGTTAGGAGCCATGGATAAGAATCGGGATGCTACAGTGTAGCCCTGAAGAATACCGCGAGACCGGCGGCATTAGGATTCGAACCAACGAAAAAAACAGCTCCCTGTTCCTCGTCAGGAGCTAGGCCGCTTGGAGTACTCAGCTGATCCGTGTAATCCTCGTCGTTAATCTTGGCGAGGGATTCATGCACGAGGTGGTAAGGAACTTTCAACTGTTGAGCATTGCTGTCGAGTCAGCGAACCACCTAC